TGACAAATCCAGACAGTACTCAATGCACGAACGTATACCAACACCTTGCCTTCTGCAAAGATTCCCCATTTCAGAGCCCACTTTTATTACACATCATCCTCATCAGAAGATAAGCTGATCCCATGATTATCCCTTGCAGCTGCTCCCAACTCTTCACGTGAAGTCCCATGCCCATCCCTCCATCTTCTCCAACTCCTGTCAAGACTTAGATCCCTCCAAAACTCAGTTGGATCCCCCGATTGCCAGTCTTCATTTCCAGAGAATCCCATAAATGTATCACTAGATGTTGGCTCTGCACAAACAGCTTTCACTTCCTTTACCTTAGTCCAATCCACAGTGTCATCCCCATTTTCCCCACTCTGTGATCCATCATCCCCAGAGAAACCCTCAAATGATTCCTCTTCAGTAGGTGCTGTAAGTATATCCCGGATCCTCTTCCTTTGTTGCTCCTCATCCGATTCCTCCTTCCAAGTAACCCTCTTTCTTCCTCTATTCCCATCCATTGCGTCTCCCTCTTCTCCTTCACACATTGACCCCTCATCCGCAGAGAACCTCTCAAATGAGTCCTCATCTGTAGGTGCCATAAGCATATTCCGAATCCTTTTCCTCTGTTGTACCTCATGTTGTACCTCTGGCTCACGAGTAACCCTTTTCTCCCTTCGGGCGCCTGTACTACTGCTTGCAATGTTACTTACAGGCTCTACTACAACAGGTATGGTGCAATATAGCAATGTTTAATGCTGATATTGTACTATGCTAATAATATAATATGTTGTATGTAATATATACCTTGTAAGCTGCTCTGAGTCCCCTTTGGGGTGAGAAGGACGGAATATAAATGTCGTAAATAATAAATAAATAAATAAATAAATAAATGTTTATACCCCGCCACCTTCTCCCCAAGGGGACTCAGGGTGGCTGACATGAGGCCAAGCCCAACAGTACAGCAAATATACAACATAAAATACAAACAGCAAAATATAATGAAAGTAAAAGTCAATACAAAAACAATATAAATGAACACACCAAACAATATAAAATCACAGTAATTGGGCAAGGATTAAAAGTTTAAAACATTGGGCAAGCAGGCCATGTAGTGTATCGAGACAGATTTGGAAATTTTAGTGAACTGCTGCCATATTCCTTCAGCATGAGGACGCCAAATGAAAAAGAATAAGGCTTTTACAACTTGAATGGTAATGTAGAAGGGGGGATGTGTTGTTGAAGGCTTTCATGGCTGGAATCCCTGGGTTGCTATTAGTTTTCTGGGCTGTATTGCCTTGTTCCAGAAGCATTCTCTCCTGAAGGTTCTCCCACATCTATGATAGGCATCCTCAGAAGTTGTGAGTTATATTGGAAACTAAGCATCTGTGGAAGGTCCAGGGTGGGTTGTTGTAGGTTTTTCGGGCTATATTCTCTCCTGACGTTTCACCTGCACCTCACTACCTCTGGGGATGCTTGCCATACATGCAGGCGAAATGTCAGGACAGAATGCCTCTAGACCATGGCCATATAGCCCGAAAAACCTACAACAACCCAGTGATTCCGGCCATGAAAGCCTTCGACAACTCTTGTCTGTTGGAGGCAACCTCTGAGGATTTATTTATTTATCATGTCAGGAGCGAACCAAAAAGTTGTACTGTATTTTTTAAAAAAACACAAAGTTTGCAAACTTGGCATTTATTAAATTCCTTTGACCAGTATCTGGCCACTTGGAGTGCCTCTGGTGTTAGTATAAGAAGGTCCTCCATTGTGCATGTGGCAGGGCTCAGGTTGCATTGTAGTAGGTGGTCAGTGGTTTGCTCTTCTCCACACTCGCATGTCGTGGATTCCACTTTGTAGCCCCATTTCTTAAGGTTGGCTCTGCATCTCGTGGTGCCAGAGCGCAGTCTGTTCAGCGCCTTCCAAGTTGCCCAGTCTTCTGTGTGCCCAGGGGGGAGTCTCTCATTTGGTATCAGACATTGGTTGAGGTTCTGGGTTTGAGTCTGCCACTTTTGGACTCTCGCTTGCTGAGGTGTTCCAGCGAGTGTCTCTGTAGATCTTAGAAAACTATTTCTTGATTCAAGTCTTTGGCATGCTGGCTGGTATCCATACAGGGGATGAGCCGGAGATGTCACTGTCTTGGTCCTTTCACTATTGGTTGCTTCTTACTGGCGAATGTCAGGTGGTGCAATGCCAGATAAATAGTGTAATTTCTCCAGTGGTGTAGGGCGCAGACACCCTGTGATAATGCGGCATGTCTCATTAAGAGCCACATCCACTATTTTAGTGTGGTGAGATGCGTTCCACACTGAGCATGCATACTCAGCACCAGATGTCTTCACTGTATCTGGTTGGGATCCCCATGAAATCATGGAGGAATTTAAAAGGGTCTGGCCCTGAAGGAGAGACCCTGCGGACCCACCAAAGAGAGCTCGCTACAATGGTGAGCAAAGAGAAGCCCAATTTAAAAGGTTTTTCCTAAGTTCCCAAAAGAAATCTCACCAAAGTTGAAGGAAGCGCCACCGAGATGATTTTATTGCGATTCAGCTGAAAAGGATGCAAAGCAGCAATATTTCGCCAAGCTAAGCATAACGTGTGTACAAAGAAAAGCCTTTTTTATACAGAAACAGAGTTGCCAGGTTTGAATCTCCCATTCCACGCCCCTCTGCTGGCTCGATGATGATTGGCTGGCGCTCTACAGCTGGGAGGAGGCTTGGCCACCTCTTGAGCGCCTGGGCCAATCGCTGGGCTTCTGCCGCCTCGGTGTCTTGACGAATCAGGAGAGAGGGAGGCGGGATGAGAGGGAAACAATGGATTCTTGAGAGGATTATGGAAATTCAGGAAATGTCCAAGGGGCTGGCGAGTTCTCAAGGCCTACAAGCTAGCAGACTATTGTTCTGAATGGCTGCAATAAACATTGATATCTGGCGATACCACCATAATCTGGATTTTCTTCCATGCCAAGACAGAGGAACAATGGGGGAAACTTAGTTGGATGTTTTAGTGAGAGAGATTGAATAGGTGGCAGATCAGGAAGAGGTGCAGCTTTCCGAAGGCTCCCCTCTGTCCCATGGTGATATAATCAATAGTTGCCAAGTGGCCGTTTCCTCTGGTGGCCAAAACCTCCGAGGCCAGAGGTCACGAGCCTTTGTTATTGTCCATGCAAAGAGTGTCTTTTGATAAGGGTTCTTTCAGCTGGTAATTCCTTTCCTTTCCAGAGTCAGGGAGGCTTCCCTACATTTTTATACATTTTTTCCAAAAGGGGAATGGGGCAAAAGGGCCAGGAAAAGGTCAGACACACAGGGAGAAAATATGAAATATAGAAATCATGTTATAGAAAATATACCCACTTATCCCCCCCCCCCACCAGAGTCCCATAGAAGTTCAAGAGAGCACGTAAGTGTAAAGGGAGGGGGTTTCCCAGTAATAAATGTGCTACCTTCTGTTATATATGAAACCTAGAGCATAAAACCTTGATTAAATGTACACACTATCTAACATGTGAAGGGTCCTTGTTGTTGTTGTTAGTGTCTTGGCAAACTGACCAAGGCTTAACCCTTATTATCTAGTCTGGTGTCCTTGTCCTTAGCAAAACTATAAGTTACTATCTTTTATTGGGGGGGGGGGGTCATGTTCCACTTCACCCAGGTTGTGCCAGTCAGCTTTTGTATGATATTATTTCTATCACCCACATACCTCTGAGGATGCTTGCCATAGATGTGGGTGAAATGTCAGGAAATAATGCTTCTGGAATATGTCTATACAGCCCGGAAAACTCACAGCCTTCAACAACCAAAACATAACAATAAGAGCCCTTATCATTGTTTTTAATCTCTTTTGCGAGCTTGAGCTCATTTTGCACTTCGGCATTTCTAACTTTATCCCTTCATATGCTGGTTATTTGTTTTGAATTCCTTTTGATGGTTTCTCCATTTTTCCATTTGTTGTCAATGCCCCTTTAAAATCTTCTCCTGATTCTCCCCACACTTCATTTCTCTCTGTGTGTGTCTTTCTTCCTCCCTGCTTAGTAAAAGTGATTCCATCAAAATACAGTTAAAGCACAGACAAAAACCTTCCCTGCCACCAAAGGAAGTCCCTACCCTACTTTAACTGGGTGGATTCACAGTTCTTGAAGTAACCCTTCCCAGAGGATGGCCTGGAAATCCCCCACCCAGCATGGCCACGAAGCTTAGGAAAATCCTCCCACTTGGTACCAGTTATAAGGTTTTCCATGAGCTTAATCCCCAAGAGGCAACTGGGTATTCTGGACTGTAGAAAGGGGAGGAATAATTCCCCCGTCAAAAGCAGCAGGTCCCCCACTCTCCTTAAAAGAAGGGTACAGGTTTGCAACTTGGGAGTTCTCCTGGATTCATCGCTGTACTTGGAACCCCAGGTTTTGGCAGTAGATAGAGGAACTTTTGCACAATTAAACTTGTGCGCCAGTTGCACCCATACCTTGGGAAGTCAGGCTTGGCCACAGTGGACATTCCAAATAGACTACTGTGACGTGCTCTACCTGGGGTTGCCTTTGAAGACTGTTCAGAAGCTTCAGTTGGTCCAATGGGCAGCAGCCAGATTGCTCACTGGGGCATACAACCCCTCTGCTGTGCTAGTTCCACTGGCAGCCAAGCATAATTCAAAGTTCTGGATTTAGCCTATAAATCCCTAAATGGTTCCAGTCTAGCTTATCTGTCCGAACGTATCTCTCTCTATAACCAACCTCAGAGGCTAAGATCATCAGGAGAGGCCCTGCTCTCGGTCCCACCCTCCTCGCAGGTGTGCCTGGTGGAGACATGAGACAGGACCTTCTCAGTGGTGGCCCCTCATTTATGGAACCCCCACCCTAGTGAAATTAGATCGGCCCCCTCCCTCCTGACCTTCAGGAAAAAAACTAAAGCCATGGCTGTTGGAACAATAATGGAATGATGACTTGGATTGGCCCTGGAATATGATTTGAATTTTGTGATTTTAACTGAAGTTTTAATGTTTATGTTTTTAATTAGGTAAAGGTAAAAAGTAAAGGTTTTCCCCTGACATTAAGTCGAGTCATGTCTGACTCTGAGGGTTGGTGCTCATCTCCATTTCTAAGTTGAAGAGCCGGCGTTGTTCGTAGATACCTTCAAGGTCCTGTGCCTGGCATGACTGCATGGAGTGCTGTTACCTTCCCACCGGAGTGGTACGTATTGATCTGCTTACATTTGCATGTTTTCGAACGGCTAGGTTGGCAGAAGCTGGGGCTAACAGTGGGAGCTCAAGCCGCTTCCCTGGATTTGAACCTGCAACCTTTTGGTCAGCGAATTCAGCAGCTCAGTGGTGTAACCCACTGAGCCACCGAGTTGATTTTAATGCAGTTGTTTATTTACCTATATATATATATATATATATATATATATATATATATACACACACACACACACACACACACACACACACACACACACACACATACACACACGGCATTGAATGTTGTCTTTATGAGGCTACCCCGAGTTCCCTTTGGCATGAGAAGGGTGGGGTACAAGTGTGGTAAATAAATAATAAATAATACTGGAGCCAAAACACTAGGATTAGTTATAGGTGATACAAAAAGCACAACAGGATAGACTACGTGCTTATTTAGACAACTGCTGCTCTGGGCCACAGAGAGGGGGTCAGAAGACAGTTCCACCTTGTCTCTTGTGCTATGCTAATAATATAATGTAATTTAATGTAATATATTGTATATACATATAATATTTATAATATTATAATATAATACAATATAACAATAATATATAATAATTATATATTTTATATTACATGTATTATTACTAATAATATTACAATATAATGGTATAGTACAATATAGTAATATATAATACTGACTAGCCGTCCCCTGCAACGTGTTGCTGTGGCTCAGTCTGGTGATCTAGAAAATAAAGTAATGAGAAAGTAATGAGAAAGTGTATGGGGTTCAGAATGCTCTGATTGTAGGTGAACTGTAAATCCCAGCAACTACAACTTCCACATGATAAAATCAAATTTTTGAGTGATGGTCACTCCTTGGGTTAGTAGGTGTCTTATGGCCAAATTTGGTGTCAATTCGCCCAGTTGTTTTTATTTATATAGATACTAGCTGTCCCCTGCCATGCGTTGCTGTAGCCCAGTCTGGTGATCTCGAAAATAAAGTAATGAGAAAGTGTTGGTTTCTAACATATGTAATGTCTTCGTGCTTGTGGATAAACAGTACTTCTTGTTGTTTCTTTGTCAGTGTTAATGTAGAGATTGTCGGGTTTGCCTACTCTGGAACATGCAACATATAATTGTCCTTCTTTCGGGGTCCCTTTCAAATCTATGATACTATATCTCTCTCTGTGTGTGAATCATATATATCTATATCTATGGCTAGATGGCTCTTTGTCAGGAGGGCTTTGTTTACGTTTTCTCGCCTTGGTGAAGAGAGTTGGACTGGATGGCCTATTGCTGGTGGGATTCAGAATGCTCTTTGATTGTAGGTAAACTATAAATCCCAGTAACTACAACTCCCAAATGTTAAGGTTTATTTCCTCCAAACTCCATCTGGGTTCATATTTGGGCATGTGGAATATTCGTGCCAAGTTTGGTCCAGATCCATCCTTGTTTGAGTCCACAGTGTTCTCTGGATGTAGGTGAACTACAACTCCGAAACTCAAGGTCAATGCCTACTAAACCCTTCGAGTGTTTCTGTTGGTCATGGGAGTCCTGTGTGCTACTTTTGGTTCAATTCCATCATTGGTGGAGTTCAGAATGCTCTTGGATTGTAGGTTAACTATAAATCCCAGCAATTACAACTCCCAAATGGCAAAATCAATTTTTTTGAGTGATAGTCACTCCTTGGGTTAGTAAATGTCTTGTGGCCAATTTGGTGTCAATTCGTCCAGTGGTTTTTGAGTTATGTTAATCCCACAAACAAACATTACATTTTTATTTATATAGATTGTACTATGCTAATAATATAATATATTGTACGCGTATATATCTTGTAAGCCACCCTGAGCCCCCTTCGGGGTGAGAAGGGCGGCATATAAATGTCGTAAATAAATAAATAATAAATATTTTTAAACTTCTATACAGCTGTAATAATTGATCTTGGCTCTAGTATCCTTCCTTTATAGGCCAGGTGTCACTGGCCAAGCGGGCTGGAGGACTCTAGGAGCTGTAGTCTTGAAAAGTAACATTTCCAAGTTTTGCACTATGTTACACACCATTCCAAGAAACTTATTATCTCATTTCACCTATTGTAAACCACCGCCTCCTCCTGATAAAAATGTATAGTATCACAAAGGACTACCACCTCACCCGCCTCATAGGAAATCTGCTACAAAACAGGAGCTTTTTTGTTGAGTTCCAGGGCCAGAGAAGCAGATGGCGAAAACAGAAGAACGGCCTGCCTCAGGGGAGTGTGCTTGCTCCATCAATGCTCAACGTTTACACAAATGACCACCCACTGCCAGAAGGGACAGAGAGCCCACTGCCAGAAGGGACAGAGAGTTTCATCTATGCTGATGATCGTGCCATTACCACTCAAGCAGGGAGCTTTGAGATGGTTGAACAGAAGCTCTCCGAAGCTCTAGGTGCCCTTACTGCCTATTACAGGGAAAACCAGCTGATCCCTAACCCATCTAAAACACAGACATGTGCCTTTCATCTTAAGAACAGACAAGCATCCCAAGCTCCGAAGATCACCTGGGAAGGAATCCCACTGGAGCATTGCAGCGCACCCAAATACCTGGGAGTCACTCTGGACCGTGCTCTGACCTACAAGAAACACTGCCTGAATATCAAGTAAAAAGTGGGCGCAAGAAACAATATCATATGAGAGCTGACTGGCACAACCTAGGGATCACAACCAGACACAGTGAAGACATCTGCCCTTGCACTATGTTACTCTGCTGCTGAGTATGCAAGCCTAGTGTGGAACACATCTCACCACGCTAAAACAGGGGATGTGGCTCTTAATGAGGCATGCCGCACTATCATGTGCCCTACACCACTGGAGAAATTACACTGTGTAGCCGGTATTGCATCACCTGACATCCGCTGGGAAGTAGCAGCCAGTAGTGAAAGAACCAAGGCAGTGACATCTCCTGCTCATCCCTTGTTTGGGTATCAGCTAGCACGGCAATGATTTAAATCAAGAAATAGTTTTCTAAGATCTACAGAGACACTCGCTGGAACACCTCAGCAAGCGAGAGTCCAAAAGTGGCAGACTCAAACCCAGCACCTCAATCCGTGGGTGATACCAGATGAGAGACTCCCGCTGGGCACACAGAAGACTGGGCGACTTGGAAGGCGCTGAACAGACTGCGCTCTGGCACCACAAGATGCAGAGCCAACCTTAAGAAATGGGGCCACAAAGTGGAATCCACGACATGCGAGTGTGGAGAAGAGCAAACCACTGACCACCTGCTGCAATGCAACCTGAGCCCTGCCACATGCACAATGGAGGACCTTCTTGCAGCAACACCAGAGGCACTCCAAGTGGCCAGATATCAGTCAAAGGACATTTAATAGAATACCAAGCCTGCAAACTTTGTGTTTTGTTTGTTTGTTTTTAATGCAATACAACTGTTTTGGTTCGCTCCTGACATGATAAATAAATAAGCCTGTAATCTTGTTCACTAACCTTATCAGCCCAGTCTTTTTCCGACTAAAATAATTGACGAGAGCCTTTAGAATACCCATTTCCAAGCCAGAATTATCGGATATTGCAGAGTTGGAACTCACAACATCTGGAGACCCACAGGTTGCTAATCTGTGATTTGTGAAAAATAGCCATGACAGGGAGACGAGTCGTGAACTGGCCTTCGCTTGGCTTGTCGTGGGAATTGCTCTCTATTTAAGCGACACATGTAGATTTTATTAGTAGATGATATCTCTCCAGCGGGGAAGGAAGGAGTGGAGTGGCGGTGGATAGTCTCCTTGTGAGGACACGTTTTTGGAATCCTGCCTCCCTGCCTGCAGGCCAGAAAGGAGAGTTGTTGCCATGGTGACAGCTGGCTGGTGCTCTGCCTTTCCTCATCCTAGGTCTTGCCGTTCTCATTTGCAAAGCAGCCTTAAGGGTGTCTGAAATCCCTGGCTGGTCGCAGTGAGCCAGGCATCTCAAGGGTGCCCCTTGCAGTGTTGGCACGATGGCCAGGCTCTTCACAACCAGTGGCACAAAGGGCAGTAGAGGTGAAGCAGGAGACCCTGCACTCCATCACTGGTCATAGAATCATAGAGTTGGAAGAGACCTCATGGGCCATCCAGTCCAACCCCTTGCCAAGATGCAGTGCATTCAAAGCACCCCTGACAGATGGCCATCCAGCCTCATAGAATCATAGAATCAAAGAGTTGGAAGAGACCTCATGGGCCATCCAGTCCAACCCCCTGCCAAGAAGCAGGAATATTGCATTCAAATCACCCCTGACAGATGGCCATCCAGCCTCTGTTTAAAAGCTTCCGGAGAAGGAGCCTCCACCACACTCCGGGGCAGAGAGTTCCACTGCTGAACGGCTCTCACAGTCAGGAAGTTCTTCCTCATGTTCAAATGGAATCTCCTTTCCTGTTGTTGAAAGCCATTGTTCCACGTCCTAGTCTCCAGGGCAGCAGAATACAAGCTTGCTCCCTCCTACTTTCCCTCACATATTTATCCATGGCCCTCATCATGTCTCCTCTCAGCCTTCTCTTCTTCAGGCTAAACATGCCTAGCTCTTTAAGCCGCTCCTCATAGGGCTTGTTCTCCAAACCCTTGATCGTTTTAGTCGCCCTCCTCTGGACACTTTCCAGTTTGTCAATATCTCTCTTCAATTGTGGTGCCCATAATTGGACACAATATTCCAGGTGTGGTCTAACCAAGGCAGAATAGAGCATGGGGAGCATGACTTCTCTGGATCTAGACCGGGGATCCTCAAACTAAGGCCCGGGGGTTGGATGTGGCTCTCCAAGGTCATCTACCCGGCCCTTGCTCAGGGTCAACTTAAGTCTGTAATGACTTGAAAGCACACAACAACAACGACAATCCTATCTCATCAGCAGGGCCCCATTGAAATACTAATACTTTTATATTTGTTCAAATTGTTCTTCATTTTAATTATTGTATTGTTTTTAAGTGTTTTTTGCACTACAAATAAGATATGTGCAGTGTGCATAGGAATTCATTCATACTTTTTTCAAATT